TCTCTTTCTCTCTCCTTCTTTCTCTCTTTTCATCTTTTTTCCTCTCTCTTTTCATCTTTCCATCTCTTTTTCTTTCCATCTCTCTCTGTCTCTCCCTTTCCTTCTTTCTCTCTTTTCATCTTTCTGTCTCTTTCTTTCCATCTTTTCTCTGCCTTTCTCTCTCTGGGACTAGGTGGCCGGAGACAAGGAAAGTGCTCCGGTCATCAGACCCCAAAAGGTTTTGGGTTCAAGCAGCCTGACTCCAGCCTCCTCCCGGCAACGGCCAGCGGGCATCCTTACCTCGCGAGGTTTCCCCTGCGCCTTCCAAGGAGCTCGAAGCGCAATGCCGGCGCCCAGAGCCGCGCTCGGCCCTTATACAGCCGGAGCGGGGAGGGGGGGGGTCGCGCGCAGGTGGCATGCAAATGAGGGAGGTCCCCGGCCACGCCCCCACGCCCCTCCCCCCCCACAGCTGGCTCCTCGGATAGCGGCGGCAGTCCAGGGCGGCTGGAGCAGCGGCGGCAGTACCGCGAGCGGCAGCGGCGGGATCGCACCTGACCAGGTGAGCAGGCGACTTTCCCGGGACGGATCTCGAGCAGACAAGCCGGGAGGGCGGCCTCCAAAGCCCCGTGTGAGGGGTGGAGGAGGTCGGGGTGGTGGTGGAGGCTTTCCTGCCAGAGGCAGCCCTGCGTTTCCACGCTGCCCACCGCCCCAAAGCTTGGTCAACCCGCGCTTGGGTTTGGTGCGCACCGGCTCCTCTCCGCCTCTTTCCCGGGAGCGCCTTCAGCCGCAGAGACGCGTGTCGGGCTCTCCCTCCGGCCGGCCGGGGTCCCAGCCCTGAGGCGGGGTCCCAGACCGGTCCTGCCTGCCCTGCTTGGAGGCAGCCTCGCCTTCCCAAACCAAAGCCGGCCCCCTTGGGATTTGGCAGCGGGCTTTCGATTTCGCAGCTTCTTTGGCGTGGTGGAGGGAAGAGAAGGGCAGAAACAATCTTTTCCCGTCTCGGAGTTGAATTCGGGGCTGAACTGCGGACGGTGGGGGAGCCAAGAGCCCCATTCGGGACCCCATCTCCGTCCTCATTTCATCCTCCGCTCCCTCCAAGGTCACCTGCGGAGTCTGCATTCCCCAGCGGGAAGAAGCGAATGCATCCACCCATCCGTGGGTCTGGCGCTTGCCCTACCGTTTAAGGCAGAAAAAAATAAATAAATCCCCATTTCCCATTTCTGGGACCCGCCAGAGGTTGGACCAGGGGTGTTCCCCCCCCCCAAACTTGGCAACTTTAAGTCCAACAAAGTTGCCAAGTTTGGGGGAACCCCCCTGGTTTGGACCCTTGAGTCTTGTGGGAACTCCGCAGACCGGGATTTTGAAAAGTGCCAGGCGGGATGATCGGGCCATAAAGCGGGAATTGGCTGCCCGCGCGGCTGTTGTGTTCAACGCCTCCCAAAGTGGATCGGAGCCATTTCATTAACCACTTTGCCTTAAATCGGGACTGGCCGGGAGTTTATGGACCCAAAACAATTTGGAGTCAGCTGCAAAATAATCAAGAAACTTGTTCACCTTTTCCAGCCCAGTTGCTCTCTGTCTGTTTCCTAGCTGGGGATGATGGCTAGTGTAGTCTTGACACACCTGGAAGGCGACAGCGGCCGAAGAAAGGCTGTTTGTGGGGTAGATCAGCCTAAAAGTCTTAAATCGTGTGATTTACTCCTGCGGTGTCATTGGCAGCTAACCCGAGACTCGGCTTAACCTGTGCCAAGTAATTGCGGGTTCAATTTTGATTGTCAATTCCTTGGCTGGAGGTGATGGGAAAAAGAGTCGCTTGCCCTAGGTAGAACGACTCACCCAAACTCAGAATTACTCAGCCCTGCCTTGGCTTTCTGACTGCGGCCACAACCACCTGCAGCAGCAGGTAAGAGCGATGAAAAAAATATTAATAAAAATAAGAAATGGCAAGAAAAAGGGAGAGGCTGGAGATTCCCAAGGTCGTTTTCAAAAGACGTAGGAGCAAAATTCCCTGTTTGTGGGACATCGCCAAACTGTCAAAGTGGAGAAGCGGCTTCTTACAGGAAGTAGATTCTTTGGCATAAGAGAAGGGGGGGGGGTCCTTTTGGATTGGTGTAGATTTTGCGTAGAAATATACGGCTTCCCCTTCGAGAGAAGAGACCCCTGTTTGGAGGGAAATCACAGCTAGTAAATGGAAGAAGGGAAGAGGGGATGCCCTCCCTGTTCTTTCTTTAAAGCCCCCCAAATCTTTAGCTTTCAGCTCCAAGAAAATGCCATTCCTCCCCATTTCCCCCAGCAAAAAACCAAAACAACAGCCCTATTCCCTGGATTTCAGAAGTCCAAAATTTAGTGGTTCCAATACAGGTCATTCTCGACTTACAACAGTTCATTTAGTGACCAACATTACAGTGGGGCATGTGCACAGAGCTGCTAGAAGGCGAGAGCAGCTGAAACAAAAGGGGCGACTCGGGAGTAAGGCTGGGAGATGATTGCCCCTCCCATAAGGGATAAAAGTCAGGGCAAGATGATGAAACCTTTGCAGGAAGCAAAGTAGCTCCATTGGTTCCGAGTTCTCCTTGAAGCTTCGGTTGGGTTTTTTTGGTCCTTTGGTTGGTTTCTCTTCTAGTTCATTTGATTCTTCAGTTTTTGGCAGCACTTCACAGAACTGAAGGGTGGGTGCTTATCTTGGGGGACTGTTTGAGATGAATTCCGGCTGAGAATGAAAACAATTCCCAGCGTTGCAATAAAATAGGTTTTGTTTTTCAAACAAGTTTGTGAATAATTACAGTTTACGAAGCCTGGGTCAGAACAGCGTGCAAAATCAAGGGCTGAAGCCAGACTCGCTTAATGACCGGGTGACTGTCGCGTATTAACCATTGCAACGACTCACTTAACAAAGAGGCAAGAAAAATTGCAAAATGGGGCAAACCTCACTTAGCAGCATACATTTTTGGCCTCCATTGTGGTCATAAACCCAGGGTTGCCTGTATTCTAACTTCAGACAAGCCTCCATCCCAGGCCAGGAATGTGAGAAAAAGTCCCAAGGTCTTGAATGAGGCGAGACATGTTCTTAGGACCACAACTTAAGTGTTGTACCTGATGATTCTTGACTCTTGACGAATGTTTCTTTTCTTTTATGTACACTGAGAGCATCTGCACCAAGACAAATTCCTTGTGTGTCCAATCCTACTTGGCCAATAAACCTATTCTATTCTATTCTATTCTATTCTATTCTATTCTATTCTACTCTACTCTACTCTACTCTACTCTACTCTACTCTGCCCTATTCTACTTTACTCTATATCCCTAATTCTAATTCTTATTCTAATTCTATTCTACTCTATATCCCCTATTCTATTCTATTCTATTCTATTCTATTCTATTCTATTCTATATCCCCTATTCTATTCTATTCTATTCTATTCTATTCTATTCTATTCTATTCTATTCTACTCTACTCTACTCTACTCTATTCTATTCTGTTCTTAGTGTTGTACCTTATGATTCTTGACTCTTGACGAATGTATCTCTTCTCTTATGGACACTGAGAGCATTTGCACCAAGACAAATTCCTTGTGTGTCCAATCACACTTGGCCAATAAACCTATTTTATTCTATTCTGTTCTGTTCTGTTCTGTTCTGTTCTATTCTACTCTACTCTACTCTATTTTATTCTATTTTTAGTGTTGTACCTTATGATTCTTGACTCTGACGAATGTATCTTTTCTTTTACGTACACTGAGAGCATTTGCGCCAAGACAAATTCCTTGTGCTTGGCCATCATACTTGGCCAATAAAGAATTCTATTCTATTCTATGCAACTGAGGGCGTTTTCAAAGCAACAGCGACGAACAGGTGCGCCATATCTGTCTTCTGGTGCAGAAACTGGGAGAATCTTGTTGTCCCTGTGGGAGAGTTCACCTGGTTAAAAAAAAAAAAAATCCAGATTGCGTTAGGTACAAAATGACGTGAGGCCTCAGGCAAGACCTCTGACCCTAAGAAGTAAAATTGACAATCAGATCTGATGACAGCCATCCAGGAATGTTCCCAATGCTGGGAAATTTCTTCCTCTGTAACAACAACAACGTACGTTTATCTCGGCGTGATTCATACCCTGGTTTGCTTTTTGCAATTATTACTTTCAGATGTATTTATCAAACACAAACAGACTGCCGGCGTTTTTCTTCCCTGTACCGTACACTCTTTCTGGATTGCCTTGTGTATGTTCAGGGTGTGTTGTGTGTGTGTGTGTGTGTGTGTGTGTGTGTGTGTGTGTGTGTGCCCAGCCAGGAGAAGTGAACGCAACGTGCAAAAGAGACCTGGGGACAAAGCAGACCGAGAAATCCAAAGTCTTGCCGAGAGGCTTAGGGGAAAAGGAAGTGATTTTTAACCTGCTGTTTGATCTTGTGGATTTAGAAGCTGCAAACCTGGCATGTCGGTGCTTGTGTAGCCAAACCAATGTCATTAACCACCGGGGGAAGACTGGCAAGAGTTGTGGGTGCAGAGAAATTTAAACCACCTCATTAAAACTATTGAGAACCTGTTTGGGCTAGTTTAGTAGTTAAAGGCATCAGGTTAAAAAAAACTGGGAGGTCATGAGTTCTAGTCCTGCCTTAGGGATAATGACAGTTGGGTGGCTTTGGGCTAGTTCCTCCTTCTTGGGCCAAAAGTTGAAATGGTGTTGAGGTGGGCAAAAATGCTGGATTAGAAGCTTAGTAATTAGTCCTGACTTAGCATGAAGCCAGATGAGTAACTACCTCTCTGCTTTAGGAAGAAAAAAAGGACCACAGGGAGACGTGATAGCACTGTCCCAATCTTTGAGGAGCTCCTACAAAAATGAGCGAGGGTCACAGCACCAGAAGGCGAGACAAGAAACAATGGGCGGAAACTAATCAAGGAGAGAAGCAACCTAGAAATAAGGAGAAATGTCCTAATTGTTAGGACCTTTCAATTGCCTCCAGAAGTTATGGGTGCTTCATCAGTGGAGACTTCTAAGAAGAGACTGGACAGTCACTTGTCTGAGGCAGGGTTTCCTGCTTGTGCAGGGGTTGGATTAGAGGACCTCTAAGGTCCCTTCCAATTCTGTTATTCTGTTATTTAAGATGGGATGGAGTAACTTGGCAGGGGGCAAAGGAGGCTGTCTGGAACTCTGGAAGGACAGTTTAGGCTGCAATATTTCTTTGCAACATTTGAGGCCGGTCTCGCATTAAGTTTGAACATGATATCTCTCTCTCTCTCTCTCTCTCTCTCTCTCTCTCTCTCTCCCTCCCTCCCTCTCTCTCTCTCTCTTTCTTTTAACCCATTAATATACAGAAGAGAAGAGAAATAAGCACAAATAAGCACAAATAACATCCAAAACTCAATTTCCACATTTAGTTGCTAATTATTTGCTTGAGGTTTGGGAGAGAGAGAGCAAGCGGAGGCAAGTGAAAATGTGCCCAGGGCAGAAGGAGTTTGTGGTCAGTGTGATTGGCAAAAACCATCTTTCTTAGTCCAATGACAATATTGGATGGCTAAAGCAAAACAACCGAGACTTTGGTCGTAGGAGCTGGATGAAAAAAGAGAG